CCATCCCTGGGGGCGCCCACGGAAGGACCGGCCGTGCCCCTCGGCGCTCTGTGGGCTGGGGGGGCAAGGCGTGCATCGCGCACAGGGCGGTGATCTCGGAGGTCTTTTCCAACCTCAATGACTGTGATTTATTTGAGGTTTGGGGTTTTTTTTTTTTCCCCCTAACAAGAGCAGGAGGCGCGGATCCCGGCGGGCCGGCCCGGCCGCGCCCGTCGCCCCGGGAGACGCCGCCGGAAGGGGCCGCCCCGCCGGTTTCCGCCCCGGCCCCGCCATCGCGGCCGGCCCGGCGCGGCCCGAGCATGTCCCGGGTGCCCGTGGGGAAGGTGCTGCTGCGGAACGTCATCCGGCACACCGGGGCGCACAACAAGGTGCGGGCACCGCGGGGCCGCCGGGCGGGCGGGGATGCGGGGGCATCCCGGGGGTGCGGGGATATCTCGGGGTGTAGGGACATCCCGGGGGTGCGGGGACGTGTTGGGGGTGTAGGGGCGTGTTGGGAGTGCGGGGATCTCACGGTGCGTCGGGGACATGCTGGGGGTGCGGGGGCACCCCGGGAGTGGGGGTACACCCCGGGGATGCGGGGACATCCCGGGGTGCGGGGACATCCCAGTGATGCCACCCGCTGGTGCGGGATGATCGCGGTGTCCTGGGGACATCCCGGGGTGTCACCCCGTGGTGCGGGACGGTCGCTGTGTCCAGGGGACATCCCGGGGTGTCACCCCGTGGTGCGGGATCATCGTGGCGTGCGGGGACCTCCCGCCGGTGCCACCCGGTGCTGACCCGGCGAGGGGAGAGCAGGAGTGTTCGGCAGAGATAAAAAGGAGTTTGTTGAATCGGCCCCCCCATCATCAGCTCCTTATTCTCACTTTCGGTTTGATCCTGTTTGTCTCGAGTTCACTTTAACCCCGTTTCGGTTTTCCTGAGTGTCAGTTGAACCCTGTTTTTTCTTAAATTCTCTCCCCGCCGGAAGGAACTTGTATATATTTACTTATAATATTGTTTATTTACTTACATACTTATGCTGTTTATAAACTTGCCCAATGAAAAGCATATTCTCTCAGGACTCCCGTGAAAATTACGGTTTGCCTTTTAAAAAGCAGCAAGTCTTTAACTGTTTGGGTTTTTCCCCTTGTTGTACTGTGCATGTACTTTTATTCACATCAGAGAATTTGAACTTTGTGTTAGTGTGCACAGGCAGGATTTTAGTGCAAGATGAAGCAAGCCCCTCAACTTTAGCAAAGTATTTAATTAATCCCTGTCATAATTTAGCAGGTCCAACTTGTTTATTCCGTATGTTTATAAAGTCACTCGTATACAGTCAGTGTCTATAACCATAAATTTGTGCCAAGCCACGCAGTATTAGATGCTGGAGTATTGTTGGCTTGGTCCTTCCAGATGATATTTATTCACTGGAGTCTGTAACAGTCCATATGTTTGGGATGGCAGTGAATGACAGGGCAGCTGAGATGGTAAAATCACTCAAACCCACCATTTTTTATGCTTTTCCTTATGTGCTTTGGTAGGGAACTACCATCAAGAGGTTCTCCTTTTGGCACAGCTAAATATGTATATAAATAATGTGTTTGAGGGTGGTAGGAAAGGCTGCTGTGGGTTTTTCTCAGCAGGAATGTTGAGGTTGGAGCTGATGTCACGTGCTTCATGACTGTGAAGTCTCCCTGATGTTAAACCTGTTTCCCTTCTGTGACTTTCAGCTTCAGGAAGAGACAGAAATGTGGAAAATAAGGGAGTGGGAGAAGCAGACAGAAGAGACTTACTGGAAAAGGCAAAGCAGAATGCTGTCAGACACCTCCAGGTGAGACACCACAGGCAGATTTCTTCTCCCCTTGAGGAGTCCCTGGAAAGAGGTCAGGCCTGTGCTTAAGTCTGACCATTTATGCCTTCATCTAGATGTGTAACCTTGGAGGTTATTAATGACTGAGCTGGGTTCTGGGGGGCTCTGGGGGTGGTTTCTCCCTCAGGGCTGGGCTGAAGGACGTGCTCTCTCTCCCCAGCAGCCGCATGCGCAGCGATGGCTTCGATGAGGAGGGACACAGGGCTGAGTGGAAAACCAGGAACCCGCAGCTCCTTGACCTGGTGGAAGATGATCTCCTCAGGGCCAGATCCTGGAATAAAAAGCTCTACGAATGTGAAGCCAACATGCCAGACAGGTCTGTGGGGAGACTCATGTTCTGTGATTATAACTGTAATTAAAATACCTTTTTGGGGTACTGTATCAAAAAACTGTACATTTCTCTGTTCAGCGTGTGCTTGAGTTCACCTTGAGAATGAATAAGTGACATGCACGAACCTCTGCGGTGTCACAGAACACCTAATTTGAATTTCTAAGCCAGCAAAAGCTCAGCCCTAAGCTTAATATTTATTACTTTGCCCAAGGAGCTTAAAAGAATCTCAAGAAACCCAAACTCTAGTGCTCTCCAGGGTTGTTTCAAAGAAATTTGAGTTGTAGTTTTCTCTAACTATAAATGGAAAAGAGACTGAGAACTTGAGGAGCATTTAAGTAGCACCAACCAGTTAGCCATATTTCCTTCCTCCTTGTCTGAACTCATGTCTTTTCTGTGGCTCTGGCTTTTCAGAATTCTATTTCTGTCCTCAAACGCCTTGCCTGTTTCTGACAGATGGTTCTGCTTTGTTACAGGTGGGGGCACAGTGGGTATAAAGAGCTGTACCCTGAGGAATTTGATACAGACAGGTAAGGCAAGCAGCTCTACTGATGGATCCAGAATCCTCCTCCTGTAAAATCAGGCAGGGAATTTTACAACCTGAGTTTTAAATTTACGATACAGATCAGCCTGGAATGTAAAGGCCTTACTGTTACATGAAAAAAAATCAGTTCATGTGGTGTGAATCTTAGGAGGGGCTAGAATATTTTGTAATAATCAGACATTGAAGTTTAGCTGGAGTTACCAAAATCTGTGAATCTGGAAGGTAAATAAATCCTTGCAGCGTCCTGGAGAGTGGAGACTTGACTGAAAAATAAGATCTTAGGCAGAATTTAATTATTTTTAACCTGCACCCAGCAGGATCATCAACGGTGAGCACCCTCCTGTTCTCTTTGCAGTGACCAGCAAGAAGGAGATGAGCAAAACGCTGTCAATGGGAAGAAGAAATCCCACCTGGGGAAGCAGACTGCCCGTGAGTCCCACAAGAGGAAAAAAACAAAGAAATCCCACAAGAAGAAGCAGAAAAAGCGCTCCCACAAGAAAAGGAAGAAAAAGAAAAAGGAGCAGGGGAAAACTTCCACAGATTCCTCCCGGGAGAGCGAGTGCTCGGCAGAGGAGACTCCAGGCACCCGGAGGGGAAAGCACAAGCGCAAGAAAAAGACCAGGAAAGTGCCTGCCAAGGAACCTACCTCTTCTTCTGGGCAGGACAGTGACTTTTCCCATGCAAGCAGCTCATGCACCAGCAGCTCTGAGGACAGTGAGTCTGAGGGCAGGAAAGAGAAACGGCCCCCGAGGAAGAGGAAGAAACGTCCCAGCTCCGCGTCGGAGAGGCAGAGTGAAGTGCCAGAGAAGAGGAGCAAGAGGAAGAACTGGAAGGTGGCGGGTGATGAGAAGTCTGAGGACAGCTCAGATGAGGACTGACGGGTCTGGGCTGCAGCTCAAACTGTGAGGGGGAGGCCAGGGCCGGGTATTTATTGTTCAGCACTGCCCCATGGTACAACTTGTCCCAGCACTGTGGTTTATGCCCATCCTGCCAGCCCGCAGGCAGGAGCTGAGCCCTGGCAGCCTGCAGGAGGGGCTCCCTTGCTTTCCAGGGACTTGGCATTCAGAAATCCAGGAGAGCAGTTACCTGTCTGACAAGCAGGCTTGTCCTGCCAACTTCAGATTCTTTCTCTGTGACCAGGTTGACCTCTGATGCCCAAAAACATTACATGCTCTCTGCAGGGGGGAGGCAGGCACGTCTGCACCATTTTTGGTCGATTTTTTTTTTTTTTTAATTAAGTTTTTAACAGGTTGCTTTTCTGGATTACCTAACTAATGGCCAAGACTGGCAGTAGGAGAGAGGTCAGACAACAAGTCTGACAGCAGAGGAAATGCCACTGGATTTAACCCCACAGTAGCTTTGTCTTCCCATCCTGCACCAAAAGCAGATCTGTGGGGGCATGCACAGGGTTAGCTGGACACAGCAGGGAGCTGAGGGAATACTCTCAGTAAGAAAAGACACCAGTGCATTTGCTTGGTTTAGACTCCTCTCCCAAGCCTGCTGTGGGCTGGCCATCGTGTCTACCTTCCTTCACTCTCTCTGGGGATGCTGAAACCATTTGTGCTGAAAGAGAGGCCTTGGTGGGTGTCGTGCTCTGTCTCTGGTGTGCCCAGTGTGTTACTGGAGAAACTGGTACCGGGCCTTTCTCCCTGCAGCGAACAGCCAAGCCTTTTAATAAATTAAACCAACCTAGATGCGTCTGATGCTTTTGTCATTGTTTTGGAGCAAAGCCCGGGCGCAGAGCAGAGGCCTGAGAAGTCTGGGTGGTGCTGGTGTTCTCCCTGGCCAGACCTGGAGATGACACAAGGGAAGGAGCCGGCGGGGATGAGCAGTGTGCGGTGCGATGGTTGTGCTGGCGAGCGGGCACAGCCTCAACAAGCACGGACGCTCTGCTCAGTCCTTCAGTAACAATGCAGGTGGTCTAGCACACACAGACGTTCACAGAGGTGTTTATTTATAAAATCATAATGATGAAATTATAAAACGTGCTTCCCTTGCACAGAGGCGTTTGACCGGGCGAGAGTGCGGGCGAGGAGCGCCTGTCTCCGGCGGGATGCGCTGCAAAACGGGGTTAATCACACGGGATCACAGACTGGGCTGGGAGGGACCCGGGCTGGGTCGGTTCCCTCCGTGTGTCCCCGGTTCCTGCCGGCAATCCCAGTGTCCCCGTTTTTCCCAGTATCCCCGGTGTGTTCCCAGTGTCCCCGGTGTTCCCAGTATCCCCCGGGTTTCCCCGCGGAAGGGGAAGCGCCGCCGCCGTTTCCGTGTCCGGGCGCGGTGCCCTTGGAGCGGACATGGCGCTGCTGCGGCCCCGCGGGGCCGCTATGGGTGAGTGACCCACGGGCGGCGCTCCCGGAGCCCCACGGAGGGCGCGGGACACCCCCGGGGAGGGGGGGGGTGTGTGCGGGATCCCATCCCCACGGTGACCACCTCGCCTCCCCCTTCCCCGTTGTCCCCGCAGCTCTGGCCCTGCTCCGCCGCCCCGCCGTGCTCACCGCCGCCCCTCGCAGCGCCCCGGCCCGGGACAGCCACGGCCACGGCCCGGCCCCGCAGGGACAACACGGTATGTGCGTGTCTGGGGGTGTCTAGGGGGGGGGGGTGTTGGGGTGGGCTGAGCAGGATTTGGGTTCCCCGGAGCCCCCTCGCAGCGCTGGGTTCGGCAGGGCGGGCTGGGGGGCCGTGGTAGCATCCCCGGCACAGCCCTGGGCCAGACCGGCCACGGGGATGTTCCAAACCCTACCGCGTCAGCTCAGGTGTCAAAGCCAAGGGAAGGAGGAACCTTATTTACAGCGTTTGCCTCCCGGAGCCGCACCTGCCGAAGTCCTTCCTGGGAAGTGGCCGAAGTCCTTCCCAGGAAGCGTCCGGACATCGCTCGCTGGTGGGAAGTAGAGAATAAGCCTACTGGGTTTTTTCCTCTTTGCTTGTGCACCCTCAGGCTTTTGCTTTTGCTTTGGCTTTAGTGAAGTGCCTCGTCTCGACCTACAGGTTGTTTTCTGCCTTATTCTCTCTCCCCGGTCCGGCTGGGAGCGGCTCGGTGGGCACCTGGTGTGGCACCACAGGGTGGGTGTGGGTGTGGGGGGTTTTCCCAGCGTCAGGGAAGCCCCTTTGCTCAGGTGGTACCTCCCCTATCCCTGGAAGTGCTCAAGGCCAGGCTGGATGGAGCTCCGAGCATCCTGGTCCAGTGGAAGGTGTCCCTGCCCAGGGCAACGGGGTGTGGGACTAAATGATCTTTAAGGTCCATTCCAACCTCAGCCTTCTGTGATTCTATTAAAAAGGGTTATAAGGGACCAGGTCTTGCTGTGGGTCTTCCAAGGGACCAGGAGAGGTGCAGGGATAAAGGACAGAGGTGATGGAGGTTGTTGTGGCACAGTGGTGCCAAGGGCACAAGAATGAAATGAGCTTTAAGGTCCCTTCCAGCCCCAACCAGTCTGTGATTCCATAATATTTTGGGCCAGGTAGGAGATTTTAAGTGGCTGTGAGGAACTCAGGGTGGAAAGGATTTACTGGTGGTACAGTGGTTTCTCTCGGTCTCTTCCTGGGTGATGTAGGGTTACAGGTGTAACCAGCAAAGCCATTGCAGGAGAAAATAATTCTGTGGGCCCTCTGAGCTGAGGGGAAAGCTGTGAAGTGCTGAGTGTTGTTAAGACAGGAAGGTAACTGTGCAGAGATGTTATTTGTCACAAATAATTGGGCTATTGTGGTGGCTCTGGTTGTCTATGATGTGTTACCATCACCTTCAACAGCACTATTTGCACTTAATTAGCATCTTGATTTGCACTCTGTCTGGGTCTGGTTTAAGACAAGGTCCGTGTGATGTCACACTGCAGGGATGTGAAACTGGGATTTGGGATGTCAGTGCCCAGCGTGGGAGTGGCTGGGAGTCCTTCAACAGGAGAGCTGTTTCTCCTTGCAGGCGGTTCCAAGGCTGCATCCCTGCACTGGACAGGGGAGCGAGCTGTCAGCGTGTTCCTGCTGGGGCTCCTCCCTGCAGCCTACCTGTGCCCAGGACCTGCTGTGGACTATTCCCTGGCCGCTGCCCTCACTCTCCACGGCCACTGGTAAGCACAGAGCCCCTCAGGATCAAAGTCAGGGTGGCTCCGAGCCTTCTGGCTTAAATCTGTACGTGGCAGCAAGCCTGCTGACTTATTTCCTGGTAACACCTGGGAAGGGGCCTTCCTTTGCCACACAGGTCTCTCAGAAGATGGGATATATGTTATGTTATCCATAAAAATTCTCCAGTGTTCTACACAGTCTCTTACCTTAGCAGCACTCCCTTACCACTGCATGTGTAGGACCTTGGGGTGTTTTTATCTCGTAGTAGAATCAGTGTTGTACAAACGGAGGGAACAGAGACAGGGCAGAGCTACGTGAACCAAGTTCTGGGCTGGCTTTGCAATCTCAGTGATTGCCAAACTGGCAGCCTTCACCTTCCTGAGGTGAGACTGGTTTGGAGTGGATTTGGTGGATTTCAGCGGGTGGTCTTGCCTGATTCCAGCTTTTTTCTCTTGTCCTGTAGGGGTCTTGGCCAGGTAATCACTGATTATGTCCACGGAGACACAGCCATTAAAGTGGCCAACACGGGGCTGTACGTGCTGTCGGCCGCCACCTTCGCCGGCCTCTGCTACTTTAACTACCACGATGTGGGGATCTGCAAGGCTGTGGCCATGCTCTGGAGCCTCTGAGGTGCCACCAGAGCCCCTGACACACACGATTGTTGTTCTCTGCTGCCTCTGCTTCATCGTATTTTTACCACCATTTAACGCGAAACGAGCGAAAAGCCAAGGGTCCATAGTGAGAGCGTCCTGCAGGGAGCTCAGAGTCCTTTAGAATGAAAACACCCACCAGCAGGGAAGATGTTGGAGAAGAAACGGTAGATTTAAGCTGGATAATGTCCATCAGAGCGAGGTGGTTTAAGCCGTGCTGTAAATTGGGATGAATTAATTCCATCCGTGAGGTGGTTTAAGCCGCGCTGTAAGTTGGGATGAATTAATTACATCAGCGACAGACTTGCATGGCTGAAGGCAACTCTCCCTTGTCGTGAGAGCTCTAGTGGGTGTTCCTTATCTGTTGTTTGGTTTCCTGTTTTGTAAAACTTGTGGAAAATTGAACTTCTTCTTCTGGCATCACAACAACTGACCTGTGTGTCAGGCAGACCCTGAGAGCTGGTGTAGAAAAGGGAATTACTTTTTTTCTTAATCCATGCAATAAAGACTTTACAGAAATCTTGTGTGTGTGCTTCTGAACCATTTTTTACTAATTCATGGTGTCCCTCTGCCCTGCTTCATTTGGCTGTTATAACACAAAATCATCGATTCTTAGAAGTGACTTAGACTGAACACAAGAGTAATTAATTTCCCTTAGAAAAGAGAGCAATTGGCCTAGAAGAAAAATACTTTTGCCTGTTGATTTTAGGAGCATCTGACCTTCAGGGCTTCCCTGGAGTTTCCCTGAATGTTTATCTGCAGCATTTCTGGGGGTTTGTTTTCTGAATGCACTGGTCTGTGTGACTGAAAAGGCAGCAAGCACAGCCCTCCTGTCGTAGCACGCCACGAGGGTGATGCAACATTCTTTGTGTCTTGAGGGTTTTAGGGCATTTTAGGGGGGAACTGAGATTCTGGGTTTGGACTTCTTGTTTTATCTTTTCGGACCTTCATTCTAGCAAGGAATGAACAGCTATTTCCACATTCTGCTGGTACATTTGTGGTACTGTTAATGGTAAGAGGAAGAGAATTCTGTGTCGCCATCAGGCTGATTATGCAATAATGCCCAAGTTCTCTTTGAATTCTATGAGGCTTTTTGATTTTTTTTTAATCTGGACTGTTAATTTTATTTGTTTATGTAGCTGCTTATTCGCGCAGTCGTGGGCAAAAGCAGGTAATGGGCCACGTTTTATCAGCCTTGTGAACCCAAAAATATCAAACACTGAATCAAATTTGCCTGCTGTGGTGTGCTTTCAATACCAACGTAACAATCATTATGTTGTCACTGTGAGGAAGGTACAGAACTGAGTCATGGGAAAGTCCCACCGAACCATCGGAGTTTAGATCTTAGAAAGTGTTTGATATTTCCCACTGTGAGCCCAAACACAGGATATATCTGCATCTGTGAGACACCTCGCTCAGTTAGCTCAACAGGCATTCAAGATTTTAGGGATCAAGTTCTGCATGTACACACTGACATTCACATTGTTGCTTCCTCGCTGTGTCATTTTCTTTCCTTCTACCTGACGAGAAAACACTCTCCTGCCTCTTTTTGTCAAATACATGCATTTATTTTTAAAACATTTTTTATAATGTTTATTTCTTTTATAAGGCTTATGGTAGTTAAAACAGAAAACTGGCTTGGTTCTGGATAAAGAAAGACTGAAGTTTCTTTTATAAAAAGCCAAAATATATTTTAAAACTGTTAAAGCCTGTCATTACAGGTTGTGACTTTCATTTTGACTGAATTTAGATAAACTTATCTTTGTGGTTTCATCCACTTCATCTTTTGTTGACAGTTTCTTCAGGATTAATTTCCTTAAGTAGCCTTCTTCCTTGAAGGCCAAGAACATTCCTTCTTCCAGTGAGTATTCGAACTTAAACGCTCCGGAGCAACAGGACGTGAATGTCTTTTTGAAAAAGATGATGTTACTTTCACCAGGAATTTCTTTGGGAACTTGTCCTTCCTGAGGAAGCAAAAGGGAAGGTGTCAGTGCCAGCACAGTTGTGCCCCAGCTCCCGCAGGTTTGGGTGGTTGATTTTGCCCCTCACGCACAGAGTGGGTGTGGGAAGCGGACGCTCACCTTGAATCGAACAATCATTTCCCCACATTCCTTCTCACAGCACATGTAATAGCTTTTGTCCTCTATTTGCACGCTGAAGGCAACAGGCAGCCCTGCTCCAGGGGTGGTGGTTTTGTAGCAGTGGATGGTGAAGTGCATCCCTTGGCCTGGGTGTAAATGGTTTGTTGTTAATAGTCTGCTCAGGAGAGCTGCAACAACCTCATTGTGTCTCACGTTCCACTGGCAACTGCTGGCTGCCTTCCCTGGATAATTTTCCTGACACAAGAGCCAGGGCTTAATATTTTTTTGGCTGCTGGCTGCACCTTTTTGACTTTCTGCAGTCATGCAATAATGAGGTGAAGTTGCCACTCAGTGTGGGTAGGATGTCAGACCCTTCTATGTGCGTGCTTCAAGTGAGACTTGGGTTTGTAAACCTGTGAATCAGATTATATCTGTATACAGGTGATCCATAAATAAATATGTGCAAAAAATACTGTTCTGAATAAATTGCTGAAACATCCCCTGAAAAATCCAGACCAAAATTGTAAGTATAGTGTTAACTTCTAGTGCTAGTACATTGTTTAAATTTTAGAACTGCTTTCTGTAATCCAACAGAAAAAAGAATAATTTTGTGATCAGAGCTAACCAAAACTCTTATCAGCCCTTTTTCTGCTTGTGACTCCCTGCAGGCTCCTGGTCTAATCCCCAGTGCACAAGACCCAAAATTTCAGCTCTCTTAGCTCATCTTCATTCTCACAAACGAAGTTTAAATCCTTGCCCTCAGCCTCATCTTTTAGAGTCAGTGATGGAAGGAACAAAACCACCTGGAGAGTAAAGGAGCAGTGCAGAGGTCACAGTTTAGGTGTGAAAAGGTACCCAATTGCATCTCCTGGTCTGTCACATCCTCAAAGGCTGCCAGGTTGAGGTCTGGGCGAACCACCAGCAGCTGGCTGTTCACGTTCCGAAGGACTCTGAGCAGGGTCTTCTCCTTGCAAAGGGCATCACATTCCAGCTCTGTGGAGACCGTGAGGAAGATTTCTTAATATTTCAGCTGTAGTGCCCTCAGCTCTGACCAGCTCAGAGGAGGGATTAAAGCAACGTGAGCTCCCAGAAGGAGCAGGGGAGCTGTAGCTCTCTTTTTCTTGCAGTAGCCAAGTTTGAAACTTGTCCTCTAAGGCACACAGAGCATCTGTGTGTTAGTAAAGCAGGAGCAAGTGAAAGTGGTGGTGCAGTTATAAATGATGAGCTCTCAGCTTACCATCATCGTCTTGGTTCCGAGTGAGCAATGAGGAGGAAAAAAAAAAAAAAAGGGAAAGGAAAAACAAGATTAATCTCTGCCCCCACAGAAGAAACCACCTTCCACCCTGGCAAGGCAGCCACCTACATGTTGCACTCCCCAGGCTGAGCTGACATCACTCCAGAGAGTGTTTATTTGCGAGCCAGACAAATGCACCGCGATGATGAAAACATCAGTCATTTGAGAACTGCAGTTACCACCAAACCAGAGGTATGCAAAGTGTTTTAGGGTTATTTAAGGGTGAACAGGTCTCGTTAAACCTGTAACCGAGGAATAATTGCATGGGAATTTTTGTTTTAATCAGAACCTTCTTTCTGAGTGAGCAAAAGGACAAGAATCCGATTGCTTCTAAAGAACAAACTGTTTTCTGACTAACTTTATAAGATTGGAACTTGCTCCCTTACTCCAAGCCCACCCCACAGTATTCCAAAGTTCTGAGTGTCCTTTAACACTTAAAACTGAAGCTTATGGGAAAATTAGTTGAAATCAGACAAACAAATGACTTGCATTAAATCAGTATTCAAACAGGAAAGGTTATTAAATGCTTTCCAGATAATAATTACCGTCAAAATAGAGGCAGAAGTTTTTTCCAAGTTTTACTGCACACACCAGGATCTCATCAGCACTCATCTTCACCCTGCCAGAGGCGCAGGGAGAGGGTTCAGAGTAAGCACAATGCTTCTTTATAAATCTAAATCCACACAGACTTCCCCTACCAAAGACCGAACTTCCAAAACACCCAAACCTTAGTTCACCCTCTGACAGCCCCTAGAAAGACCTGTATCTTTGGCACCTGGGGTTGGAATTCTGGAGGTTCTTAGGGAAGCTTGGATGGAATTTATTTTGCAGTAACACTGATTTTTTCCTTATGGTATTTTATCTCAACTCAAATTCTGATCTTGATTTCACAGCTACTCTCTTTCAAGAGTGACACAGAGAAAAGGGAAGAAGAAAGGATATTTCCCTTAGGAATAACAACAATCATTTTATTAAAAAAAAAAAAAACAACAACAAAATCCAACAAACCCTGAACTAGTCACTGAAGACCAGTCAACTTCTGCACCTGAGAGGTTCCAGCCCCTCTTCTAAACGCTTCAGGGGTCATTAAAACTGATCCCTGGTTCAAGCCATTTGTCAACCAAAGGGTTGGCAATTCACAGCCTCTTGCCCTGGGCTCCCAGCCACAGCTCAACCTCCCTTCAACATGCACCTCAGCCTGCTGCTTGCAATGCCTTTAGCTCTATGCATATCCCTTGCACTAAGTAAATGCATTAAAGCCAGGTGAACAGGAGGAAGATCACGGCTCTTGCGCTGGCATTTTGTTGTGCAGTCAGAATATCCGGCATCCTTCCAACGCTTTTTCATCACTCCAGAAGGATTCACTACACAAAGCAGCTGAGCAGTGTCAAGCTGCACACGCCCATCAGCCACAGGGATCAGGGTGGGGAATTTCCTTGTCCCTTCAGTAAAGGACTTTACGTATTTGAGAGTGATTTTTTTTCTCATCCTACTTTTTTATAAGAAACCCCAGTGGTCCGTAGTTCTGTGGTCTGTGCAGAGGAGGCACCCAGGCTCACGGCATCTTTGTTGGCAAACACGCACCCCTGAGCCTTAGAAACGAGACACCCCAGCACCAAACCCTGCGAGCCTCATCCGCAGAAAATTAAGCAACAAGCTCTGTTATTCTGGAGTGGAGGGGAAGGCATAGGCAGGACTTAGTGACACAGGATTTAAGCCCTTGGTTTAATGGGTAAAACACCTTAAGTGACTGTGCTGCTTTCCTTGACCATTGAATCATAGGATCACAGAATCGATGAGGTTGGAAAAGACCTCCAGCATCATCAACTCCGACCCTGGCGCAGCAAAAAGATCTTTAACAGAGCAGGCTCGAAAGGCACGGCAGAAGCTGAAAGTTTTTAGCTGACTGTTGGAGGTGGCGTGGGATGACTCACCCTGTGGAAAAGCGGGAGTGCGGGGCGGGAGAAGCTCGAAGTGCGTGGGAGCGGAGCCCGCGGTGGTCCTCGCTGGCTCCTCGGCGAACTGCAGCCGAATGCAGGGAGCCGGACAGACAGACGGACGGACGGAGGGACGGACGGGCGGGCGGGCGTAGCTGCGGGAGGGCGGGGAGCGCAGCCGGGACTGGGGCCGGGGCTGTCCCGGGGCCGGCCGGGGTCACCGCCCCGCCGCCCACGGGGGATGCCCGAGCCCCGGGGAAGCGGTGGCCGAGCAGCGGTGCCGCCAGCGCAGGATTTGTAGCGGCCGAGGAGATTTGGGGCGCCTTCCCGACATAATCTGCCTACATTTCCCGCCGCCGGAGACGCCGCGAGTATGCAAATCGGGGGTGACATCAGGGCTCGTCTGGCCCGGCTCCAGCGTGCCCGTTCCCAGCCGGTCCGTGGGGTTTTGAAACAGGTACCACCATCCCCGCTTCCCCGCACGCTGCCCGCAAACATCGCGGCGTGTGCTGGCCCTGGATAACACCAACAGCACGGGCACCTCGCCTCGCATCCCTTGGGACAGGGGGAGCTCCCGGGGGGAGCTGGGCCGCCTGTTCAGGGATAACCTCTCGCTGTCCCCCATCACCTGCTGCCTTTGGGGAGCGTTCAAGGCAGCAAGCGCTGCTGTAACTGCAGCGCCGACACCGTGTGGTGGTGGTGGTGGGGTAATTAAGGCCCTTAAGAAACAGGAAACGCAGCTTTGGGAAGGAGTAACTAACCAATATTTTTTTTTTTTTTTTTGGGGGGGGGTGTCTGAGTTTGTAGAACTTGGTGGCGCCAGCGGAAATCCCCGTGCCTCGATTTTCTGTTTGTAGTGCTGATCATCAGCGGGGACAGGAGGGCGAGTTGTAGGGATGAAAAAAAAAAAACACATGCAAAACCCCCAAAGGCAGCAAGTGATGGAGGGGAACAAGAGATTATCCCAGAACAGGAGCCTGAATTCTTCCCTTGGAGGTACTTATGTAGCTGAGACCCCAAGGCGCTCCCTCACCTGCCAACATGCCTGTTACTGCCCTGGGAGAGGGGGAAAAAAAAAATGGTAGGAATGCTTTAATACCTGTCTGATAAAAATAGGCAGGTAATTTTGGGGCCACAGGTTGGTTCTAACAGGAAAAAAAATATATATATAAAATTTATATCTTCCTAAATTTAACTGACTTCTGTTTCTGGCCACCCATTTCTGACATTTTCCCGATAGACATTTCGTAACCAATAGTTCCTTTCTGCAAGTAGGATCAAAATGCCTCCTGGTCTTTTTCAACTAAAATAAACAATTTCAGCCCTTTTTAAGTTTCCGCCTCTGAATAATTTTCTTCCCCTTGAAAATAATATTCACGTCTCTTTTATTCACTCCAATTGACTTTTAATATTTTAACATTTTTTGAAATTTTTCTCACGAGAGCTTTATTCAGGAGAGTTCCCCATTTGGGTGATTCTTGTTCCCAGATACTTTTTATTTCACTACAAAAGAATTACATTATTTTTAAAAAAAATGATGCTGTATTAATAATTTATCATTCAGCAATTTTTTCCACATTAAGTTTAAATACACATTCAGATAACAAATTAAACATTAAATAATATTATACTTGGCAAAACCAATGCCATTCAGCCAATATTATTTACTTTGTAATAACATCTGGCAATAATGTTTTTGGTCTATTGATATTACATACAGAACTATCAGGAGCGAGGATTTGGTCTTTCTTTTCAGCCTTTGAGAACCTAAAAATTCAATAAGGACATTTAGAACATTGAATAAAAGGCGTTCCCTTCTCTTCCTCTGTACATATTTGCATTTATAAGGGCCAGACTCTTAACTCATACAATGGCTTCTGTGATAAGATTTAAGGTTTTATTTTTCCTGGCATTTAATATCTCCAATAATAAAAGAACTGGAACTACTTTTAGAGTAATCATTTTGATAATTTTTCTCCAATCTTAAAGGATCTGGAACTCCAGTTGAGAGTTAACTCTCACACCTTAGATAATTTTTAAAATTCATTTTATATTTAGACTGATGTTTCTGCATAGACTGTCCCATCCATAACGTGCTGAGAGTGGTAAAGAAAATTCAGATGTTTAATTTCATCTAATTCACATGGTCTGTTAATAAAAATATCTTAACCTACTAACGATAACACAATTAAATAAACACCTTAGGGCCAAATTCCAAGCCTAATCTCTCATATCTATTTCTTAATGTTTAGATAATAACATAAATCTCTATAAAATGTTTGAGAATAAGTCAAGTGGGGTGTGTCAGCATATTGACTATTGTTCCTACTTTAGGGAAGTATTTAGTTCTCGTTCTTTCAGCAGTTTAATTTCTTGTACTGAGATTTTAATTTCAGAGCCTAATCAGATAACGTATTTGAAATTAAGGTCCTTTTTCTCTTATAAAAAAAAGGAAATTGGAGATATTTTAAAAAAATAACTCCACACACACATGGAAGAACAGTACAGCCCAGGGGCAAAATTTGCTTCGCTCCAACATGACTCCAATTCTTTAAATGATTTATTTTACTGTAGAGAAACCCTGCAGAGAAGAAAAAAGCTGTTCTCAGCAGTTGTGCGGGGGTTTTTTTTTGTTTTTTTTTTTGACGGTGTTGCTCATTTTAGTGACTGATATCTCAGGTTTTACGAATCGGTGGCTTGAGTTTCGAGACGGATGCTTGGGTGGACGGTCCCCCTGGCCTTCCGCGTGTTTTAGGGACTTGTGACCGGGCTAGAGGAGACGAAACGCGTTATTTGGGGGGGAACAGCTCAGTGTTTCAGTTCACTGCAGGTAGAATAATTAACTCATAAATAATCGGCAGGGATGGGGACGGCTCTTCCCGGGCTGGCTGGGGCAGGAGCCGCTCCCGAGGGCTGGGCAGGAGCTCTGGGGGTGCTGCCAGCCCTGAGGGGAGTGGGGCATCCCCTGTCCCCTGTCCTTGTCCCCTGTCCCCATCCCCATGTCCCTGTCCCCTGTCCTTGTCCCCTGTCCCCTCACGGACGGCCCATCACAGCCATTCCCACCCCAGCCCATCCCGGGCCCACCCAGAGCCTGAGGGGAAGGCGCCGGTCCCAGGGTCCCCGTTGTTTGTCCTCGTGGGCAGGAGGGACCGGGAAGAGGGATCAATGCCCTAGGATATGGATCCCAGGCACCCCAAGCTGTGCCGGGACACCCCCCGAGCTGGCCCCGCCGCGCCCAGCCCCTCAGGGCGCCCTGAGGCGCTGCCCCTCGGCGGGAGGAGAGCTCCTCCACAGAGCTGAACGCCGCGGGGCTCACACGGATCGGCGTAAATAATCCTCCCCAGCCACACGAGGGAACGGCGTAGCCAACACCCCCTGCTCTCTGTCAGGAGGCGATGGCGAGCAACGCGCAAAAATCTGATGAGAGTGCGAGCAAACGTCAGAGGATGGAGGTGAGCGGTGCTGAGGGAGGGAGGGAGGGCGCGGACCCTCGTTCCATGCCCTGCTCTGGATCCCGGGCACGGAGGGAGGGCACACAGCTCCGTTAGCTTCATGGAGGTTTGGGGAAACAGAGAGAGGACTTGCTCGTGTGAGGAAATCAGAGTTTCTCTTAGTGTTTGAAGACCAGCGGTATTGGGTGTGCACTGAGACACAGTTATGTGGAATGTTTTGAGAGCGAGCTGCTGAAATACACTGGCTTTTACTGATATATATAAATATATAGATATACATACACAGAGAGATACATACAGTGCATATCTAAAAAAAATATGTATATATTTACAGAGATCTCAAGCTGGTACTTCCCACCCACTGCCCAAGATGATGCCCCGAAGCCAACACCGCTTGCATTTTCTCTAAATACAGCCTCTCAAGGCCTTTTTAAACCTCCTCTTTCCCTCAATTAAACTCCGTGCTAAGCTCATTTTAAGTCCTAGAAGCTGTGTCTTTTTAATGTGCTCTGTTATTAGAATGAAGCTTCAGAAAATCCTCAGTTGTCCTTCCTTGACAAAACAGATTTGGCTCTTTCTGAGGACTCGCGGTCCCTTTGCAACACTGAACCACTGGAAAAGGTTTTAAATGGTGATGTATTAAATATACCGAAAGTAAGTATGCAATTCCCTGATTTATGCTGAGATCCATTCAGATATTTAAATAAAATTGCCTCTTTTTTTTTTCCCTTTTAGCAGAGATGAACAAAGAAATCATGACCTTGTTATCAAAATATGCTAACATTATAAGGCAAGTTAACTTTGCACTATTTGTACAGCATCTTTGTAACTTCTCTAGATAAGATGGAACTGGGTATTAATGGACAGCATGTTTTTAAGAAAAGCATAAAAGCAGCTTTAAGTAGTGAGAAAGTTAATGGCATTAGTGTTGATTTTAACAAGAGGGTTTTTTTTCACTTAAGTGAGGCAGCAGAGATGGAGACTTCTTATGTCCAGGAACTGGATGGAATCTTGACAGAAGCGAGGGACATAGAAGACGAGTTAAACCAGAAAAGGGAGAGTCTGAAACAGAGATTCACTGTCATGGCAAACGCCCTGCAAGGATAAATGGAGCTTGTTCATCTGCAGAAGTGCAGGGCCAAACTCAGTATGTTCTGTGTATTCAAACAAACTGTCATGAGTGTTATGGTGTCTGGGCCTTAGGTAAACTGTCAACAACTTAAGCAGCGACTTATACATAGTTAGTAAAATCTGTTCTAAATATCTGTTTTAAATCCTGTGACTCCAAGGTCAACCCATTGAACATAGTACAGTAATTTTTCTATGAAACGTAGAATTTTGTAAGTGGAAAAGGACCTCAGATTTATTTAATACTAACCATTTTCTGCGCTTGTTTTAGTTTATGTGTTTTTTTCTTTCTACTTTAGAAAATGTTTTGGTGCTAAAGTCTTTGTAGAATGTACTTGGCAATCTTATATCAATTTTGTCTCAGAATACAGATAGGTTGAAGAGATCAGCTTAGAAGTAGGAGAGTTCTATTAAGGAGAATACTTTGGGAAATGTATAAAGTCTTAATTTGAAAATGCATTTAATACTTGTACAGCTTTTCAAGGCCATTTTGATATAAACATTAAAGCACACAGTCAGAACTTTGCTGTGATGTCAATAAATAACTAAACAATAATAACGTGGTCTAAAATGCTCTTTTGTTTTGGATACATGAGTATTGTTTGCTGTATATCCAGTTTATTTAAGGACGATCATGGAGTTTTTCGAGCCCTTTTTCTCCCTTGTCACTAAACTCTGTTAAAAAAAGATGAAACCCAGAATGTATAAAGGATCATGTACAAATTGTGAGGCTTACTGAATAAAGAAAAGTGCCAGAAAGTCCTGGTGCTAGAATAAGATATATTTAGATCATTACCCCAGGACTGTGTATCAATTTTCTCTTAAAATCTTTTCAGACTCAACCCATCCTCCTTCTACCCTTTTATTAACTATAAGTCAGGAGCAAACGTGCTGCATGTCAGAGTGACACGACTCAAATCATGGGAGGAGCTGGACATGTAGGGTGAGATTTAGATACCTAAAGGTACAGATATGTCCTTAGTAGGATTTTCAAAGTGCCTAATCATGGTGTAAGCGTCTTACATGCTTAGGAATTTTGAAAAATCCTGTAAGGTGCCTATCTGCATCTTTAGCACGTAAAGACCTTCAAAAGTCTTGCCAGTGGTCTGCATCATATTTACCAGTCTCCTGGTTTGGGTTTTTTTTTTTTTTTTTTCCTTATAATCTCATCTTGTAGTCACTCTTGGTAGCGCTACTTAAACAGAAAAATGTGGGGGAAAAAGAGAAGGAGGTTTAGGGAGTGAAGCTTTCTAGTATATTGTGCTAAGGGTTTCTAAAATCTACGCTCACCCCTAGTAATGACAAACCCCAAAGTTTTAAATTGACGTTTCTCAAGTGTCTGAATTTAGACATTTACCCACAGTTACTTACCTAAGGCTTTAAAGAAAAATTACACAAGTTTCATCACTGACAAATATCTGCCTGTTACCTGCATTTTTGTCTGCTTGTGCTTGGGAAAATGATTCAGCCTTTTTAATTATCTAGATTTAGTTTATGTGGCCAATATCTCGAATCATTACTGAGAAACAGAACTTAGACTATGTGATCCAATAGTTTTATAAGTTTCCTCCCTCAGGGCATCAAGTGTTACTGTTGCAGCAATTGGGTTGTCGTTTAATGTTATAATTTAATAACATGGAATATAAGAAGTAATAAGGGGAATTTGAAGAGATATTGAGAGTAAATTCAGGAAATATGGCCCCAGTAACCTAGGTGAGCATATGAACAGTGTGGCTGTGCTTATTAAAGTTTTTAAAATGCCAAGAGCAACAAAGCCTCTGATTTTGCTGCCTGAATACATGTGAGGAAATGTGTATAAGTAAACCAAGTAAAATTAATTAAATAGGGAGTTTTATAACGTTTTGGCTTGAAATGGCAAGTGTAGAAAACTTAAAACAGCCACTGAAAATAAACCAGCCTCTCCTCTTTTGAAGTTCATTAACATGTCAGCAATGGCAATTCATCAATCATAACTTAATCCCTTCTTGATTAAACGGAGCTTTCCTTAATTATGGTGCTGGCTAAAAATAGAGAGTTTTTCTGTTGGCTGCCCTTCAGTGTTCCACTCCATATCTAAATATTTGGGAGTACTCTTTACACGCTGTTTTTCTTCTAAGCCATTAGAAAATAGATTTTTACTGTTTTCCTGCTTGTCAACAATTCATCCACCCCACTAATGATGCTTCTGCCTCCTCCTAACATATTTTGGCGTTCATTGGGAGAAACAAATCGAGTTGTCTCTCTCCCCTTCTGATGTGACACTAAAAGCTCATTCATGCTGTCCCCGAGGAGGGAGCTCCACGTGAAACCCAACTGGCACCCATCCCACCACTATCCGCTTTCCCGTTTTACTCAAGGAGGTTTGGACAGAAAATTAATTGGCTTTAAAGCTGCAAAATCTGATCAGCGAAGCTCAGCTGGTAACTACGTTTTCTTTAAGCTTCTCCCCTCCTCGTTTAAGCCCCAGTGCCTGTAAATTAACACGAACGTCTAAGATTACAGATCAGTAGCCCAATATAAATGGATTTTTTTTTTTTTTTTTTAAACCTGGAAACGTCCTAGACAAGGTTCCGACCCTCTTGAAGTCAGGGGGATTTTGGCACCGAGTCTTTCGCGGTTCTGAGCTCGCTGAGAATACCTCCCCAGGCTGGCAAAATGTAAGTGATGAAAAACTCGGTTCTTCTGATCACTCTTCTATTTAAAAGCTGCAAATGGAAAATACCAGATAAGGCAGAGAGAGAAAAGGCTGGTTGTGACTGTTTACTGAGAATGAAACTGCCTTTTAGCACAGGGGTAGGAATGGGGGTCAGAACAGAGAAAGACCAAGTGAGCAGGTCATGGATGTGTTTAAGGCTCGGGACATTCCGTGTAGAACTGATCAGAACGCAGGTTTGCTAATCACAGGATCTTTGTCTCTGAATTGGCTTGGAAACCCTGATGACTGGGGTGGCTGGAAAAGAGCCGAGTTGGAGGGAATTTTGCATCATCGGGGGGTGGGGAACAGCCAGAAAAAAACACTCAGTGTAACTCCCATCTTGGAGAGGGTCTGAAGGAAACTTCTTAACTAGGACTTGGGGAAGAGCTGATTTACCATGGAAAAATAACAGATGGGTATAGCTGGATGTAAAGCAATCGGCACCATCCTGTATGGTATTATATAAAATAAGAGCAATCAGGAAGTAGGGGCTACTTAAAAAGTCAATGAATACTTTTTTTTTTTTTCCTGATAGGTCCACTTATCCTATAGAGATCTGCTACCAGCCTTGCTTATTCCACATTATCCTGAATGGTTTAGAAGGAGGGCATTAGAGAATACAGCTAATTTTTCAAACAGCAGCAAACTAGGAGAGGTCATTGAAAATTCATTGTAATCTCAATAAGACGAAGGGTAGAGCTGAAATCTAAATAAAATTTAAAATGGACAAGGGGTGTCCTACATGTTTCTTACCGGGCAGAGCAATAGCTAGTGTTTGTTTGGTGGTACTGTGTGGTGAGATGTGTTTGGTACAGCACAGCAAGTCAGACGGAAACGTAGTTTTTCCCCTCCCCTCTGTGGTAGTTTGGTCTTACTAAAAACGAGAACCAAAAATAATAAAAGGTGAAGGAAACGTGATCGGCGAGGAAAGGCTGAAGCCAGTTGGGTTTGTTTAGGAAAGCACAGCTCAGGGGAGGGCATGGTCAGAGATGTTCCCTGGGTCCTGCAGAAAGGACAGGAAGAAATGAGCTGAATTTGCAGCAGAAGATTTAGGATGAGCACTGATGTGTGTGTGCAGTGGGGTCCTTGGAGCTCCCTCTCAGGGCACGGGGCAGCTTTAAAGAGCTGCTTCATGCCATGAAACAAAGGTTCCCTCTCCGCGCTGGCAGCTTCCTCCCCGCATCCCGGAGGAAGGCTCTGTCCTAGGTCCGGCTTAGCTCGGAACAGCAGGGAACAGCCTGGTCCTTCCCTGCCGGATTCGACGGGCTAATCTGGCGCGGCAGCCAACATTGCTAAAGCCTCGCGATTCACTGAGCTGCAAAATGCTTTACTCGGCTTTCCAAACAAAACAACACGTTTTGGATTTGTTTTTTTTTTGGGGGGTTGTTTTTGTTTTTTGTTTTTTGGTTTTGTTTTTTTTTTTTTTGTATACGCCAACAAGAAGCCGAGGCGACAGGAGATCTTGAAAGAACCGCCTCGCTAATTAAATCCCGGCCGCCCGGATCCAGCGCTACATCTCCCCTTTTTTCTCTCCCGCTCCCCAGGTACAAAAGGCACGTAGCGCTGGAGCGATTTGGCCCCGGCGGTGGCTCCGCCGGCCCAGGGAGCGGCAGCGATCGCGGCCCGGGGGCGCGTCCCGGCCCGCCGGGAGCCGCGGAGCGCAGCGGAGCGTGGGCAGCGGGGATGATGGATCAGGGAATCCTTGCCAGCCCGCCGGGACACACCGCCCCGGCTCTTATTGTGAAAGGATGATGTCAGGCAGCTCTCATCTCCCGGCGCATCTCCGCTCGCTGCTGGCCGCCCTGGCACCGCTGCCTCCGCTTGACCACCGCCGAGCCGATGCCTCCTGCCCAGCGGAACATGCTAGCCCAGATCCTATTGCCCGCCGTCAGCCTCCTGCTTGCGCACTTGCAGTATTTCCTCTGCTGTTTGATGCAATTCATCCCAGGTAAAACGCATAAACAACCAAACCCTTCTATCCTGTCGTGTTGGGAGGAGGGTTGTTGCTGCTGCTGCTGCTGCTGCTGCTGCTGCTGCTGCTGCTGCTGCTGCTGCTGCTGTTGCTGGCACAGGTCGGTAGAGCAAATTCTATTCCATCGATGAGAAATTCGGAGCTGAGCGACCTGAAGGGCTTTGTTAGATGCTAGAAATTGCCTGTCGTTTATTGAATGGATGAACGGAGGGGCAAGGATTACAGCAGCCACGGATGGTTTAGAGCTGGAAGAGCAGTGCACAGCAGGTTCCCAGAGCACGGGAGGCAGCTCTAAGTGGGCTGTGAGGGGCTTGTTTGGAGCAGCACCATCGCTGGAGCATCGATCTGAACGTTCAAGTTGGAAACTACCCCAAGGGATCTTGCATCACAACCGAACTCGGCAGTTT